GGGTCAGAGGGAGAAGCAGACTCCCCGCTGAGCAGGGAGTCCAATGTGGGACTCGATCCCGGGACTCCAGGATCATGACCTGAGCCGAAGGCAGTCGCTCAACCAACTGAGCCACCCAGGCGCCCCATAAATAAAATCTTAAAAAAACAAAAACAAAAACAAAAAAACCTCTCTCCAAATTACCCTAATTTGACTGTGCCATCATTTCCTGCTAGGACCCTGAGTGACAGAGATACTTCTTATTTGTGCTACAAGCTATCGTATTTTTTGAAAGTGTAAGAAAAGGTCTCTATTCTCCAGAAATTTAAACTGGGGCACTTCCATGTCACTAAGTAAGAGTGCACATGAGTGCTAAAGGGGGATATAGAGACAGCTGGTACTGTAAGGAATCCCCTGGACCTGCAAGCCATAGACAGGTTTCACACAGTACAGACTCTGAGTTGTGCAAGGGGACTAACATTTATTTGGGTCCTACCATGTGCCACACCTACAATGGCTGTGCTTAATATATATTAAGACATGTTTATATGTTTAAAAGTCAGCAGTGTTAAAAGTCAGCAGAGCTCGCACTCATTCTACTACACCAAAGTTTTACAAACTTAAGTATAATTTACTTGCAGAGAAATCACAAACTAATCACCCATCTTTTTTTATTAAAGTGAAATTCACATAACATAAAATTAACTAAAGAGAAAAATCCAGCGACATTTAATACATTCATAATGTGTGTAATCACCATCTCTACCTAGTTCCAAAGCATTTTCATCACTCCAAAATAAAACCCTGAACCCATTAAGCAGTCACTCCCCATTTTCCCTTTCTCCCAGCTCCTGGCAACCACCACTCTACTGTCTCTATACATTTACCTATTCCAGGTATTTCATGTAAGTAGAATCATCCAAGGTGACTTTTTGTGTCTGGCTCCTTTCACTTAGCATAAGGCTTTTGAGGTTCATCCTCAAAACACTGTAGCACGAATCAGTACTTCATCCTCTTTTATGGATGAATAATATTCCATTGTGTGGATATGCTGCATGTATTTATTCAACTGCTGATGGACATTTTTCTTTTCACCTTTTGGTTCTTGTGAACTGCTGGTATGAATATTTGTGTACAAGTATTTGTTTGAACACAAGTTTTAATTCTTTTGGGTATATGCCTACTAATGGTAATTAGTATGGTAATTTGGTAATTCTATGTCTAATTTGCTAATTCTAGGTCTAATTTTTTGAGAAACTGTCAGACTACTTACCACAGCAGCTGAACCATTTTATCGTCCTACCAGCAATGTATAATAAGGGTTCCAATTTCTCCACATCATTGTAATCAACCAACTTTTAATTTAAGGGGCACCTGGCTGGCTCAGCTGGTGGAGCGTGAGACTTTTGATCTCAGGGTTGTGAGTTCAAGCCCCATGGTGGGTATAGAGCTTACTTTAAAAATAAAAATAAAAAAATAAGTAAAATTTAAATTTCAAATATGTTAAAAAAAACTGCACTACACCATAAGGCACAGAGTGAATATTTATTTATCAGAGGTTAAACCTAAGCTCTAATTTTATAAACACTGGGAAAGCAGGCCAGAAAAGTGTAGAGATTTGCTCAAAGTCAAAGCTAAAGAACACTTCTATCAAGATGGAGTGAAAAGAAAAGATTTTAGAGCATTCCACAACTCCAACCTCAAAATTACCCACTGCAAGCATCCCTTCAAGTTCTTGACACTAAAATTGTTTCCACTATCTTTCAGAGGACGAGTAAGAATCCCAGTAAAAGAGGAAGAGAAATGGCTTCCAAACAAGAGGCAGGACACTGTGTGTGCCACAGAGCAGTAACGACATCAGTCCTGCTAAGGGTAGCCACTTAAGATATCTGAGTATGGGATTACCCAACTCTAAGTGGCCCTTTAAGAAATCAGTGGCTCCAACTCTCCCTATCTTTTTGTTTACCCATAAGCCGTTTCAGCCCCACCCATGTTCCAAGACAAATCAGGTCAGTATACCCCAATCCTTTCTAAAGCCCTAGGTTCTTTCTTCCAAATCTTTTCTAACACTTTATTTACTGGTCTGGGAGAGAAAAGAGTACTGTGGTGATGTTTTCAGGAGGATGACATTTCCAAAGTGGAGAGGATGAAGGCCTCTGGCTTGGCCTCCTGCTTCAGCACTCCTGTCAGCAGGAACTCAGGTGAGAGGATGGGCAGGCCAACCCGAAATGGAATAGAGCATCGAGGGAAGTCCTGGGAGCATGTAATCACAATTCTCTGTGGCTGGGGAAAGACAGACAGCAAAGACAAAGTCAGGGGTGAAAAAGAATCCTAGAAATAGGTTCAGAACCCACTAATCAGTTTCAGCATCACTAAAATAGACCTCCTGATATGAAGCATACTTGTCAGAAGTACTCTTGCCAGAAAAGCTGAACCTGAATTTATTCAAGCTTTTAAAATTAACTATAGTTTACAAGGAATGTAAAAGAAGAACAAGACAAATCGCACAGCAAAGGAGCAACCAGAAAAACCCAGACTGGAACATTCTAAAGAACAACTGACCTAGTTTCTGTAGGAAGTCAATGGAATAAAAAAAAAAGGCTGGGTGGGTTGGGGGAGATCTTTTCTAGAGTAAGAGAAAATTAAGAGATATGCAATTGTGGCAATACATGGATCTCGTTTGAATCCTGACTTGAACCGCAAAGAGACATTTTTGGCCAACTGGAGAAATCTGTCTAATGGAGTATAAGAAAATGACCAAGAAACTATTGTTAATTTTGTTATGGATCAATAATGGCATTGTGATTATGTAAAAAAAAAAAGTACATAATTTCTTAGAGAAGTGTACTTTAAGTATGTAGGGGGAAATAATATGATGTTTGCAGTTTCCTTTAAAATAGTTGGGCAAAGAAAAAGAAAAAAAGCAATAAATGGAGAAAATGTAGCAAAGTCTAAACTACCTTGTTAAATCTGAATGATTGATATATGGAGGTTCGTTGATAATACAGATTCTCTCTCCCTTTGTGTATATTTGAAAAATTTTAAAATACAAAATGAAAATAAATCCACTCGGAATCAGCAGACTTCTTCATTCCTATCCCTTTACACACTACAGAGCTTCCCCTCACCCTCTCACTACTCTTGTGTTCCCGTCCATACCCGTTTGGTTCTCCAACCTTTTCCCATTCCAGCCACCTCTTTAAGTGCCACCTCACCAGATCCAAAACATACCACCCATACCTTATAGGACCGGGGCATGCTGGGTAGAACAGTGCCTCCACAGCAGCTGATGATCTCTCCCATCTGAGGTGGTGGTGGCTGGACTCCTGGGGTCACGTGGATTTCATAGCCCTAAGAGGAAGAGAATGTTGGAGGCCATAAATGTATGCACTGAGAGGCCATGAACAGCTGGGGAGCCTCTGGAGGGAAGGCTGAAGCACGGGGCAGAAGACAGCCTCTCACCTCCAGCAACCTTCGCTCCCGAGCCCGGCTCAGGGCATCTCGAAGGCTGAAGCCAAAGTTCTTCTCCTGCTCAGGATCAGTCACCACATATTCATCCGGGGGCAAGAAGCAACCAGCCTTGCGGGACTAAGGACAGTAGCAGTCAGCACCAAAGCTCAGCCCAGCCCACCACCCAGCTCTTCTGCCTAGCATTTGGAAGGAGCTTATGAAATGTTCTTTGAATTAAGCTTTCCACCTCATTCACCTCCCTTGTCCTCCTGTACCCCTTTTCCCCCCACTACTTCCTAGAGCACCACGTGAGTAGTCTTTCGCCATCAGTATCTCTGATGGTATGTCACCTCTTAGACTCTCACCTGGTGCAGCCAGTCCAAGGAAAGGATGGGGATCCCCCGCCCCAGGGCACAGAGGAACTTGACTGTGCGTCGGACTCGATCAGTCACCAAGTGGGAAGCCTCTGCCACTGAGCTGGCCAGACTCCCTCCCAGGGCCAGCACTGCCCGCTCTCCACGGGCATCCACCACTCCTGTGAAGAGTACCTGTGGAAGGGGTGAACCTGAGCTGGTCACAGCAACCCATGCCATCAGCGCCTGTCTCCAAACCCCTAGGTCTCCTCCCATCCTCCCATCCTCCCATCCTCCCATCCTCCCATGTCTGTCTCCCACCAAGCCCCATGCCCCTTCTCTCCTACTTTGGGGGCTGTGGACTCTTGGTTAGGTTTGGTCCGTCGAAGGCTGCGGCTTGGGATTCCCTTGGGCTCCTCCTCTGCTTGGTCTCTCTTTCTCTTGCCTGGTCCTGGAACCACTACATCCTGGGATTGAGAAAGATCTTGCTGGAAGTTTCTGAGCCTCTAAGCCCTTTCCTAGCTTCACGGCCCCGGCCCTCTCCTCACCTCCTCCTTCCTTGGCCTCTCCATTGGGTCTTCTTCCTCTTCCTTGAGGAAAACTGTCTTCCGGGTGACTTCCCCTCTTTGGAGCCGTTTTTGAAGTGGGGGTGAATCCACCGTAGCCAAAGGCCTCTTGCGGGTCTGAGAGGCCTTAGGCAGGGGCTCTGGGGTGAATTCAGATCTTCCTGCTGCCTCTACCTTTTGGATCTGGGTAGTGTGAGTGGGGGCCTCAGGAAGCTGGGCAAAGGCAGGCTTGGGAATGGTCCTGAGGGACTCAACTACTCTCACTGTTCCTTGTCTTTGGTTCCTTGAGGACCGAGATTTAGGTTCAGGGAGTGCAGAGTAGGGCTCACGGACAATGGGAGCTGTGAGGGACTCATGCTTCCTAGTGGCCCTCAGCCTCCTGCTGCAACTGGCTTGAGGGATGTGCTCAGGGGGAATAGGCTGGTCTGTGGGGACAGGAGACTGGAATTCAGGGGTGGTAAGAACTGGCACAGCACTTATTGTAGAAGACCTCAGTGTCTTATCCTGACTATCCTGAGCCTTGGGGATGACCAGCTGATCTGTGGGGGTGAGAGATTCAAGGTCAGGGGCTGTGGGCTCAGTTGGTTGGGGGAGCTTGACAAAGGACCTCCGTGTCCTGCCCCGAGTGGCCCGAGATGTGGCCTCAGGAGTGACACGCTCATCTGTGGAGACGGAAGGCTGGAGTTCAGGGGCTGTGGGGGCAATTGGCTCAGGGGTCTTGACAGAAGACCTCGATGTCCTGCCCCGAGATGTACGTTTGGGGGTGACAGGCTGGCCTCTGGGGGTGGTAGGCTGGAGCTCAGGGGCTGTGGGGACAACTGGCTCAGGGGTCTTGACAGAAGACCTCGATGTCCTGCCCCGAGATGTGGGTTTGGGGATGACAGGCTGGTCTGTGGGGATGGAAGGCTGGATTTCAGGAGCTGTTGGGATAATTGGCTCAGGAGTCTTGACAGAAGACCTATGTGTCCTGCTGTGAGTGGCCCCAGATATGGGCCCAGTGATGACAGGCTGGTCTTTGGAGGTGGAAGGCTGGAGTTCAGGGACTGTGGGGACAGTTGGTTCAGAAGTCTTGACAGAGGACCTACGTGTCCTGCCCCAAGTGACCCGAGATGTGGGCTCAGGAGTGACAGGCTGGTCTGTGGGGATGGAAGGCTGGACTTCAGGAGCTGTTGGGACAACTGGCTCAGGGGTCTTGACAGAAGACCTGTGTGTCCTGCTGTGAGCGGCCCCAGATGTGGGCTCACTGATGACAGACTGGTCTCTGGAGGTGGAAGGTTGGGGTTCAGGGACTGTGGGGACAGTTGGTTCAGGAGTCTTGACAGAGGACCTACGTGTCCTGCCCCAAGTGACCTGAGATGTGGGCTCAGGGGTAACAGGCTGGTCTTTGGAAGTAGAAGGCTGGAGCTCGGGGGCTGTGGGGATTACTGGTTTGGGAGTCTTGACAGAAGACCTATGTGCCCTGCCCTGAGTGGCTGTGGAGACAACTGGTGCAGGAGTCTTGACAGATTTACGGGTCCTGCCCTGAGATATAAGCTCAGCAGTGAGAGGCTGCTCTCTGGAGGTGGAAGGCTGGACTTCAGGGACTATAGGAACAACTAGTTCAGGGGTCTTGACAGAGAACCTATGTGCCCTACCCCGAGTGACCCGCGATGTGGACTCACGGGTAACAGGCTGGTCTTTGGAGGTGGAAGTCTGGAGCTCAGGGGCTGAAGGGACAACAGGTTCAGAGGTCTTGACAGAGGACCTACGTGTCCTGCCCCGAGTGACCCGAGATGTGAGCTCAGGACTGAGGGGCTGGTCTGTGGGGATGGTAGAGTGAGGTTCAAGGGCTAAAGAAGAAACTGCAGAGGGTGTCTTCCTGGAGGACCCTCGGAGCCTGACTTTGGATTTTGGGTGGAGAGGCTCCATCTCTGAGGACAAGGGAGTCTCTAGAACTTCCTGATTCCCATTTTGTCTGGTCCTGGGAATGGGCTCTAAAGAAGATGGAGAGGGAGAAAGGAAGGGCAGGGGCACAGGATGTTTTTGACTCTGAGAGAGGAGGGTATTGTGGTGTGGGGTTGAGGCTTCAGGCACTGCAGGAGGCAGACAAGCATCTGCGGATTCCTGATCACCCTGAGGAGAAACAGAAGCAAGTGAGGGAGGAAGAGGCAGAGAGAAGAGAGACAGTACTTGGATATGTTCTTAATACTTGGGTATGGTTAGTGTTCCTGGCATTTCACTTGTCTATGACCTCCCTTCCATGAGACTGGGAACTTCCTAGGGTGGGAGCAGTCCTCGCTCCCACAGACCTCTCCTCATGCCAGCATAGTGTTCTCCACAGATGGCTGATGGTAGTAAGAGGATGGTTGGAAAAAGAGGGAAAAGACATGAAAAAATGGACATTCTGAGTCAGGTAGAGGGAGACAGAACTTGGGAAACAGATATAGAAAATGACAGGGGTAAAAGGAAAGGCACAGAAGCCAACTAAGGAGTGGTGACAACCAAAGAAAATTGGGAAGATTGAGGAGTAGATTAAAGCAAGGTCAGGGGAAAGGGCAGTGAACAGAGGTAGAAAAAGCAGCTCTCACCACAGAGGACTTCTCAGCAGATGGCATCTTGCAAGTCAAGTGGCCTAGACAGAAAGTAAAAACAAGTGGAGCTGAGGTCTAAGCAGTCAGACACTTAGGGGTTGAGCAGCACAAGGGCTGTGCACCACCTTGGGTTTCCCTCTGCCTTCACTTACCTCTCTGCTGCCTCCTGGGGCTCATGGGGGCTCCACCTGACTGGCTCCCAGAAGCTCCTGGGGCTGAAGCAAGTCCCTGATGGTCCCCCGTCCCTGCTCTAGGCTCTGGTGTTAGACTGGAGGCCTGCCCTTCCTTGTCCTGGCTCCCTTTCTCTGTCTCCCCTCTCTGGGGGCCTCTCTCCAGTTTTACTTCCGGTATCTCGACGCCTAATCCACTTGGCTCACCCCCTCTCTCTAGTACTAGTTTCTTTGCTTCTCTCTCAAATATTTCTCTTGCAGGAGTCTGCTTTCCTATCTCTTCCTCTTGTACTTCCCTGGGTATCTCCATTTCTATGTTTAAACTCTCCATATTCCTTTTAATACCTGTACTTTTCACCTTTGGGTCAGACTCTTGTCCCTGATTATCTCTAGCTAACACCTGTCTCCCTCTGGTTAATTCTTCTTCTCCTGTCACATCTCTCTCTTCTGCTGGCAGGTTCTTGGTTTCCCTGTTCAATAGTCCTCTCTCAGGGGCCACCCCCTCTGCTGCTTCTCTTGGTGTACCCATGTCTTTCTCCACAGTCTGCATCCCTCTTCCTTGAATCCCCAGTGGCTCTTCATGAACTGGGCTCTCTGGATGTTGGGCTTGTGGTGTTGTCTTAGGTGTAGAGGGGCAAGATCCATGGGCATCAAGATGGGCAGCACTGGGCTGGGGCTCAGAGGCCTCAGACTCTCTCGGACAGAATGGCTGTGTTGCCAAGACTTCCCATGGCTCATCCAGGGCACCTGGAAGTAAAGAGAGAGAGAGAGAGAGAGAGAAATGCAGATTGAAAATGTAATAGGTTGAGAAAAGATTATGATAAACTCATGAAATAGGGGCACCTGGGTGGCTTAGTCAATTGAGTATCTGCCTTCGGCTCAGGTCATGATCTCAGGGTCCTGGGATCGAGCCCCACATTGGGCTCCCTGCTCAGCGGGGACCCTGCTTCTCCATCTCCCTCTGCTCCCCACCCCACTCGTGTGGGTGTGCTCTCTCTCTCCCTCAAATAAATAAATAAAATCTTTAAAAGAAAAAATTCACCAATAATAAACCTAAGTGAATTGTTAAAGGAAAGTTGGTAATAAAGAGGACAATCATAACATTTAGTATTTGTCTAAGTTAAGACCCCACATGCATATAGAAATTCTCATAGCAGCCTTTTTTTTTTTTTTTT